GTCCTCAGGTTTGGCCTTCTTGTTTATGTGTGTTGTACATTCGATTTTCCATCAGGCTGATGCCCTCCGTTTCAATTTGAACTGTCAAAACGTCTTATATTTAGAAAGAGAGGGAGTATTACCCTAATTCAATCCCTGGAGGGAACTTAATTGTTTGTCTATTTGATGATTTCGGTCACGGCTGAACACCACATTAGTTAGAAACTGCTACAGAAGAGAAGACAGAGATCGCTATGTTTGGCCGTAATATCCCAGATGTGTTTAGCCTGCACTGCTAGAACCCATGGCTACTGTAGCTTCACTGTCCAGCAATACCATCATACTAACTCACAAAAGAACAATCTTCACTATCCAATATTTCCTTCCAAATTTTGATTCTTTGTCTGAAGGTAGCTTTAGAAATATGCTGATTCAACGAAATAGTTTGTGCAGAGAATATACTACTCCGTATTTTACTACACTTTGCTAAGTACAGAGAAGATGATTTTGCTACGCTTCCGCATGTTCAGAGAAGATGAATTTGCTATTTGCCACAATTTCATCGTGTTATTTACATAGGCAACTCGTGCGTAAATAATGAGTTAATATGTGCTCATGCATAAACTGTCAATCAATGCAATGCAATGCAATTCTAGTTGTGAGAGGACTTGGCCTAGCCCTAGTTGCTTTTGCATGCGCTTAAATGATGTTGTCCGGAGATGTACACATATTGTTGCCGAAATTTCTTGGTGTGACAAGTTGTAATCTGCTAGCAATTTTCTGAATTGCTTTGCAAACTCTGCTCCTGGTACTGAGATCTTGTTTTGGCTGTGATCCTCATACTTCATAAAATCTTACCAAACAAAGCCTCGGCTCAGCATATCTCAGTAGATACACACGTCACCATACAACATCTCATCTTGCATGTCTCAACATGAGAAGATGCTATTAAATACTTACATCATCGCAGTTGTATATACACAAACTTGCTCTGGTCTGGTCAACATGTCTCGGGAGAGAATAGCCATACCAGAGTGAGGAGACTGTCTATCAAACACGCCTATAATCTACAACATGTATGTGTTTCATCAATGCTATACGCCATACGGGAGGCGAAAGCAGCACCTCCAGTTGATCTTTACATTCTCTTGAAGGACCGAACTGATCGTTCATCTCCTATCACTCGTGTCTTCTTCCTGCACGCACTTGCCGGACGGTGTGCCGCCGTGCTGCAGCCGTATCACCCCTGTTGTGTAGGTGCGGACGCCGCCGTCCGATGAAGATAGCCGGAGGCCGTGAGAGGAGCCGCGACCGCCCCCGACGCGGCACGCGGAGTCCGGCGGAAGCTCCAGCACCTTGACTGAGCATGCAGTCTCTAGGCTCGGTGTAGCGTGGAGCCGGGACGGGAGCTCTATGGAGAAATTGCCGTACTCATTTGTTGTTGCAAACGCAGAGTTAGCCATCGTGTTGGGACCTTCGGTTGCGCAGGTTACTGCCACCTTACTACCTGCTTGGGCCAAAGAAAAAGAAACACAGAGTATGAGGATATTTTTCTTCAGTGCGTAGTTCTACTGCATTACCTTACATAAGAGGGTAGTGAAAAACTCATTACAGCCTTGTGAAAATTGAAAAAAAATTTCAGCAAATACTACTACCTCTATCCAGATTTGTAAGGTGGACACGAGTTTTCAGGTCGTCAATTTAACTAGCGGAACATGTGTTATATGCTACTAAAAATATACTCCCTCCGATCCTGTTACCACGTATATAAGATTTGTTTGATGTCAAACTTCGTAAAATTTGACCAATTTTGTAGAAAAAATATTAACATTCACAATACAAAAGCAATATCATTAGATGCGACATGAATTTAATTTTTCATATTTTTTAAACTTTAGTATTATAGATCTTGATTTTTTTTCGTATAAATATGGTCAAACTTTACGAAGTTTGACTTCAGTCAATTCTTATATACAAAGTAAAAATGACTAGAGTGATTGTGTTCGTCACCAAATAAATTTTCTAAACATATGCTACCGTACATGCTACAACGACTCAGGGGGGGTATTGATCCTCAAAGCATATGCATATATTTAAATATTGACGCAGAAAGATAAACTGGCTGAAACAAAAAAAATATTTTTATGCATATTTTAAATATTGACGCAGAAAGCTAAACTGGCTGAAACAAAAAATAATATTTTTTGACCACGGCACACCATACGGAATAGCTGGCTTATTCCACGCCTCCTTAGTGAGAATCCCAGATATATTCGATCCACGTAGGAGTCGAACTCTGGTCGCCGGGAGAACCACTGTGATCCCAGCCATTGGGCTACTGCCCC